GTCAGTTAGAAATTTTGGGCTTTATTGTTATTAATGTGACTCAGAGAAATCCCCTTCAAAAAAGATTTAATTGCTAGCTAGAAATAAAACAGTTCACTATTTCCCATTACAAAGAATATGAATATTCTTCCCAGCATCCAATATTTGCTGTTCAAGAGCAAAAAACACAAATAGTTTGAGTTTTAAATGTTATTTTTTTTAAAAGCTGGCATAATCCAATCCCCAAAGATTAGTTAAATCATAAAACACTAAAAGTTAATTGTTATGTCTCTTTGAAAATCTCTAGTACAAGTTTTCAAAAAGTGTCATTTTTATGACACTCCCAATTATATCGAGTTCTCCTTTATTACTTCAGTCTGCCGGTTAGTATTGCTTTGTTAATTTGTAGAGTTTAGACTTTAAGAATCAAACTCTTACTTCCCAAGGATCCTGTTAATCTCTTAAAAAATATCCAGTTTCTAGGCCAGGGGTTTCCAACCAGGGGTGCTCGCACCCCCTGGAGGTGCCAGACGATATTCCAGAGGGCGTGAAAACTTGACTTTTCAAAATTATAGTGTATATGCATAATTTGTTGCCATTATTTCAAACTTTTGTAAGGGGTGCAAGAATATATCAGAAGCGTTCTAGGGGTGCGGGGTATAGAAAAGGTTGGCTAGAGCTAGACCATCTTACTGAATACTTGCAAATGTTGCAAACTGAGGACAGGGGTCCCCAACCCCGGGGCCCGTTACCAGGCTGTGGCTATTTGCAATAGGTCTACAGGCTGATGCACAGTGTGTGTGTAGCTCGACTTGCAGTCGAGCTGTGTGTGTGCCCCGGCCCACCACTTGAGTAAGATGAACTTCATGCGTGTGGTTGTGCGCCAGTCTGCTGCTCATGTGGTCTGGTTCCTCTCCCCCTCCCCCCGTCGGGCCGCCAAGCTGCAACAGTTGGAGACTGCTGTGTTTAGGAGTTCAAGAAGCATCGCCAAAGTGCTTTGATTGTCTTGTTGAGATCCCTGGAAAATGTGCAGAGAAGAGCAGCAAAGATGATAAAAGTTCTGGAGGCTAAATTGTATGGTGAACGGTTGAGGGAGATCACTACGTCTAGCTTATCGAAGATGAAAAGGATTAAGGGGGGGGCATGATAGTACTTGAGGGGCTGTCACAGAGGAGGAGGTTGACTTCATCTCCAATGCACCTGGAGGACGGGACAAGAAGTAATGGGTGGGAGATCCATCCTAGAAGTAAGGAGAAATCTCCTGACAGAACAATTAATCACTGGAATGACTTGCCTCTGGAAGTTGTGGATGCTCCATCGCTGGTGGTTTTAAGAGAAGACTGGACAGCCATTTGTCCAAAATGGTTAGGGTCTCCTGCTTGAGCAGGGAGATGAACTGGAACGGTGGTCTCCAACCTTTCCAGCTCCATGGACCAGCAGTGGCCAGAGGGGGATGGTTTTGTGTGCTCGCCCGCTGCTTGCGCAGCCCAGTTCCCGATGGGCCATGGGCCAGTACCATGGGGGATTGGAGAGCCCTGAACTAGAAGATCTCCCAGGTCTCTTCCAACTCTGTTATTCTATGTCCTAAAAAAATCAGTTTATTTCAATAGAAAACGGCTCCAGGTCCAAAGTCTACTTTTCCAGTGTCTTTTCCTATCAGGAACATAATCTAGGCAAATGGAAGACGGGAAAGGAGGACAAACGAAAATGTCCTCCAGTCGGTGATAGTGAAACAGGAGAATGTACAATAAAAATCCAGCAATCTTGTTTGGAGAAACAGTCATGTACAGCTGATGCTTCTGCCTGCTTCCCAAGTTGTGCAGTGTCTTCTTCCTTGCAGTGACATGAAGCCAGGAGACAATTCTGACAACTTCCAAACAAGAGACCGTTTGGAAATGGAGACTTAAGAATTCAGTAGAGATACGGGAAAATCCGGTAAGGGACACGCCGGCAATATTCGTGCCACGCTAGCCCGTACTTCCTCAGGCACTGGTGCTCGTCCCGGGCATCCCGATGAGCCAGCAGCAAGGTGAAATAGATAATATAAAAATAGGGCAAGATGTGAGTGAATCCTGCAACGAAACCGAAAGGAAGGCCAGCTTAGATTGCTGCAGAGAAACAAATCTGGAGCCTCTCCTAGGTGGCTGCCACTTACCGCAGGGCAAAGACCACGCAAAAGCCATGATCAGATCTCCTAAATAGTTGGGGTGTCGCACAAAACCCCACCAGCCAGAGACCAGGAGGCGGCGACCGGTTGCCGTAGGGATTGTCCGGAGCCCTGGGGGAAAAAAGAGAGTGATAGAGGGTCTTCTGTTTGAGGGGGTTGGACTATTAGAACAGGGCTTTTCAACCAGTGGTAGGGGTACCACCTGTGGTACATTGGCACCTGGCAGGTGGTATGCGACAATCCTAGAAAAGTGATAGCAGGGGAGGGGAATGAGCTGAACCGGTGGCAGCACCGCACAAGCCTGAGCGAGAGACGGCTGGAGCTGCAGGGCTGTCAGGGCTCAGCGGAAGCGCCAGGATCAGTGCCAGGCTCCAGCTGGAAAGCAGCACTGATCCTGGTGCTTCTGCTGAGCCCTGAAGAAGCACCAATCAGCTGGAGCTCAGCGCTGATCCTGGTGCTTCTGCTGAGCCCAGAAGAAGCGCCGATCAGCTGGAATGTTGCAGCCTCTCCAGGGTCTTGTGATTTACATTCAGATGCTTGGCAACTGATTCATATTTATGACAGTCACAGTGTCCCAGGGTCATGTGAAGTGACCAAAACCTGCTGCAACCACCCAGCAGACGGGGGGGAATAAAAACCAACCCCCCCCACCTCACCCCCGCTGCCAATCCTCAACAGAAATGCTCACAACAATGGAAACCTCGGACAGGAGGAAGAGCGCCGCCAGGTGGGCGGGCAGGTGTCTTGCTCGGCTGTGGCTTGGGGGGCACTTTTTTCAGTGCCACTGTAACTTCGAACAATCACTAAGCAAATTGTTGTAAGTCGAGGACCACCTGTACTTCATCACTTTTTTCCCTTTTTTTTTTGGTCATCAAGTTTTTGACACCTTGCTAGGCGACTGGTGGTACTCGGATATTGCCATATCCTAAAAGTGGTACAATGGGTGAAAAGGTTGAAAAGCCCTGTACTAAAAGATCTGACTCTATTATTCTGTTAACTAATCAGTGGAACAGCTTCCCTACAGAAGTTGTGAGTAAAGCAATGTGAAGCGGGATATAAGTCTAAACATTATGGCTATTGCTATCTTAATCACCTAGGATAAAAGGAAGTAAACCCACCATGTTGTGTGAATGTGCCTGCCAGATTTTGGTTAAGTCGATCTTATGGACCCCCCCCCCTACAAAGTGAAACTTGTGATGTTACAAACCAGTCACTCTGGGGTCAGCGGGATTCCGTCGGAAGGTGTTTTTCTGGGAATTGGCACCACGGAATATGGTTATAGGGTCCGGACGTTTTACTTTTTTACTGTCACTCTACTAAACATAACTTAGCATCGTAGCATCTCAACCTTCCCTGGAATCTCCCGTAGGTCGGATTGAAAAGAGAGTCGTGTCTCAGGTAGTCTAGTTACGAAGAGTTGGAATCGTTGAAGAACTTCATGCCTGAAGGTCTTAAGAGTAGTTACCGGTACAACTGTGAAATTCTGGGATTTGAAGTTCACATGCACAGAAATCATTAAGGTTGGAAAACCTTGAATTAATGAATGACCATCCAGCTTCCATTGGAAGACCAAAAAAAAATTGGAATGGAATGGAATAGAAAGAGGAGCGAGGAGAGGAGACAATATTCTGTTATTCTTGAGTAGAGTAGAGTAGAGTAGAACAGAACAGAATAGAATACAGAAAACAAAACAAAAAACAGAAAAGGATAGAAGAGGATAGGATAATAGAATTAGAATAGAATAGAATAGAATAGAATAGAATAGAATAGACTGACTAGAATAGAATAAACTAATAGAATAGAATAGATTTAGACTAGAATAGACATAGAATAGAATTAGACTAGACTAGACTAAGAATAGAAAGAATAGAGTAGAATAGAGTAGAAGAATAGAATAGAATAGAATAGAATAGGACTAGAATAGAATAGGACTAGAATAGAATAGGACTAGAATAGAATAGGACTAGAATAGAATAGGACTAGACTAGACTACACTAGACTACACTAGACTACACTAGACTAGACTAGAAGAGTTAGAAGGGACCTTGGCAATCTAGTCCAACACCACCACCACCCCGCTCAAGCAGGAGATGATGAAAGCATTCTGTGCATGCTCAGAGGGCCTGTTTGCAGCCTCACTCACCATTTAGCAGGACGATGCCCCCCGCTAGAGGCAGGCTAAGCTGCTGGGGGTGAGCTACGAGGAAGCAGGACTGGAGGCTGTACAGGAATGGCACCCAAGCCAGGTCCCCGTAAGCAAGCATGAAACCGAAGCCATCATGGACAATATCCATTGTGGTGAGAATGGCCTCCTGCAAAATATTCACAAACTTCAGCCCCAAATTTCTTGACTCCAGTCTTTCTCAACCTTGGCAACTTTAAGATGCTTTGCTGGCTGAGGAATTCTGGGAGTTGAAGTCCACCCATCTTAAAGTTGTTAAGGTTGAGAAAGACTGCTCTAGCCTGATCCAGCTGTGCAAACAGCTGTAGATTACTCAAAGCAGTGCGTCAAGCCAAATTGTGCAACCAGCCTTGGACCTCTAAACTAGGGAATTTCCAAGTTGGGGAAATACTGTATTTCTTTCTCCCATGTTCCAAGGATAACTTGTTAAAAAAAATTTTTGAAACACATTTTATTGGTTTTTTAATTGTTAGAACAAAGTACTAAGGACACACCGTGGTGCTGGGGTAATCAAACATCCTAAAACAAAACATATAAACATTGTACAATCAATACATCAAGTATTCCTTCTCTTTTTCCCTCAGATAACATAGAATATTTAACATATCCAATTCTAGCTTAAATTTATTCCAACTGGACCTGTTTTAAAGCTTTATAAATTTACAATACCATAATCAAGTTAACTTTAAGCAAAAACATTATCCATTCAGGTATCCCTTCCAAATATGTTCTAATTCCTTAATTTTGTCATGAATCTTATTTATTTCTTCTTCCACTAATCACCCCTGTTTAAAATAAAGTATTAATCTATCCTATACCTATCTAATCCATCAATTAATCAATCTCTTTGAGCTGACAGAATAATTTCAGACCTTAAATTCAAATTTCATCCAATTAATTACCATAGCTAATAACATCCATGTCATCAAACATAACTCAATTAATTAATAGTTCAATCCAAATCTAAATTTGGATCTCTTCAATTTTCTTCATTCCATTACATAATAATTTTCATACAAATAAACCTATCGTTCTAAAAAATACATTCTTAATATTCTAAATTACCTTTAGTCCATTATATAAAAAATATCTCATTTTTAGGCAAGAATATTGATCTATCCTATACATATCTAAATGTGCATATCTATCTATCTAACTTATACAAATCTAATTTGTTAAATTTTTTTGACCCCCCTCCCTTTCCCCATGGCCAGGCCTGCTGGCCATGGTTTAACCTACCTCATGCCAGAAGGCATCCACCACGTAGAGAAGCTGGAAGGCATTAACCAGGATCATGGCCAAGGAGGGGCTGCCTCTCAGTTCCGTTTCTTTAACCAACATCGCCATGTTGATCAGGGCCTGCGGGAGGGAGGAGACAGCCCAGCAATGAGAACAGACCCCCATCAATTTCCCCACTTTTTTCCACATCATATTGGATTTTAAAAAACATGTGGATAAATTTATGGAGCTGGAGGCTAAAACATACAAATAACGATTGCAGGAATTGGGTCTGTCCAATGTACTGAAAAGAAGGACCTGGCTGGTGGGATCTCTGCGTTAGGAGGATGGAAGGGCTGCGAGTGGAGTTGCTGGAGGAGGTGGGGTCAAGGCCAGTGGAAAGTGCAATGACTTGGAAAGAAGATTTGCGGGTAGAATTGGGCAGTAACAATCAAGAAGTATTGAATGAGGTGGCCCAACAAAGGACAACCAGCTACATCTGCTGCCTTCTCTCTACTTGGGAACATCACCAGTGAAAGCTATCCCTGATATGCAGCCAGTGGCATCCAGAAGCCATGCATGATGCTATTCTGAGGAATCAAGAAGCTCTGTGTATGGTGCTGACCAACCAGGATATATTAAAGAATCTTGTGGATCAGGGCCAGAACACCATGTCTTCTATTGAGGATCGAATCCAAGCTATTGAACAAGAAATGAGCATCTTTGCTCAGGTCAACAAAGAAATCAATCGACTTGGAGATGAAACTAACTTCAGTGAGATTGTTTTTTACCCATAGAGTCCAATTACCATCTCAGCCCCCTTTCACTGAGCTGACGTTTAACATATATACTGTGCAACAGAAACAATTGTGATATTTGACCCGTATAAACATAAATGCTGTTGTTCCTAGAACCTGTTTAGCAACTGTTTTCAGCTGGCTTACAGATAATTCTCTCCTGAATCAAAATGTGATTTAGTGTTTTCAGTTGGCTTACAGAGAATTCTTCTCTCCTGAATCAGAATGAGATTTATCCCAACATACAATTAGCCTTGGTCTAGCTCACCATTTCTGAACTTCAGCAACTTTTAAATATGTAGATTTCAACTCCTAGAATTCTCCCAGTGTAAGAGTTGAAATCCGTGCATCCTAATGTTTCTGAGGCTGAGAAACATTATCAAGTTACCCAAAGAAGCCTCTTGCTGTCAGGACATCTCACCTGCATCATATGTAGCCCATAATCCTCAGATGTCTGAATATTGTTCTGAGGGAGGCCTCAATTGTTTCCTCTTCTGAGAAACGGCTTTAAAAATGCTATGCAAGAATCTTTTCTTCAAGTGGCACAAAAACATTTTTAACATCTGGAAAATTGGTCAGATATAAGCCAAATGAAAAATACAGAACTGTCTTTTATTCTGTCGCCATTTCAGCCATGCTAGCTCACATACATAGCACCATTAGTTAATTCTAGTGTTAATTTTGGGGAGATGCTTCCTTGTTCAAATTTCAACTGTGAAACGATATTGATGTTGAATTCTGATGGTGGGTGACATTCTGTGGTAGTAGCATATGATAGCTCTTTTTTTGCCACATCCCCAAATTGCTTTACTTGGTATATAGAGTCTTATGAAGGGCAGCCTGCTGTTGAAAAATATGCTCTAAATCAGGGGTCTGCAACCTTGACAACTTTAAGACTTGTGGACTTCAGCTCCCAGAATTCCTTAGCCAGCATAGTTGGCTGAGGAATTCTGGGAGCTGAAGTCCACAAGTCTTAAAGTTGTCAAGGTTGCAGACCCCTGCTCTAAATGAACACTGGATTAAATATATGCTGTCAGAGGTGGTTCCAACTTATGAATAGTTCCATGAATGTACTTTGACATTAAAAGCAATGGAATGACCAGGGAAGACATGATAGCAGCACTCCATTATTTGACGGGCTGCCACAAGGAAGAGGGCTCAACCTAATCTCCAAAGCACCAGAAGGCAGGACAAGAAAGAATGGATGGAAACTAACCAAGGAGAGAAGCAACCTGGAATTAAGGAGAAATTTCCTAACAGTGAGAACAATTAACCAGTGGAACAGCTTGTCACCAGAAGATGTGGGTGCTCCATCACTGGAGGCATTTAAGAAGAGACAGGACAGCCCCTTGTCTCACATGATATAGAGTTTCTTGCTTGAGCAGGGGGCTGGACTAGAAGACCTCCAAGGTCCCTTCCAACTCTATTATTCTATATTCTAAATCTCTCCGTTCTTTGGCGAAAGGGACGTCATTTAACCCCTGCTTCCCAAGGATCAGGTGGAATTGTCTGGATCACATTCCTGCCCAACACATTGACTTTCCTTCCTTCCTTTTAATCTGGGTCATCTGATTTCTGGGTTGTGCAAACAGATTGTCCAGGACCCAACATAGGCTATGAAGACTGTGTATAGCTGATGAAGCTTGTCAAGGCTTTCAAATTCCAGTAAGAACATAGAACATAGAATATAGAATAAGAGGGTCCTTGGCGGTCTTCTAGCCCAGGGCTTTTCAACCTTTTCACCCATTGTACCACTTTTAGGATATGGCAACATCCGAGTACCACCAGTCGCCTAGCAAGGTGTCAAAAACTTGATGACCCAAAAAAAAAAAAAGTGATAAAAGTACAGGTAGTCCTCGACTTACAACAGTGACTGTTCGAAGTTACAATGGCACTGAAAAAAGTGCCCCCCCCAAGCCACAGCCGAGCAAGACACCTGCCTGCCCGCCCAGCGGCGCTCTTCCTCCTGTCCGAGGTTTTCATTGTTGTGAACATTTCTGTTGAGGATTGGCAGCGGGGGTGGGGTGGGGGGTGTTTGGTTTTTATTCCCCCCCTGCGTCTGCTGGGTGGTTGCAGCAGGTTTTGGTCACTTCACATGACCCTGGGATGCTGTGACCGTCATAAATATGAATCAGTTGCCAAGCATCTGAATGTAAATCACAAGACCCTGGAGATGCTGCAACATTCCAGCTGATCGGCGCTTCTTCTGGGCTCAGCAGAAGCGCCAGGATCAGCGCTGAGCTCCAGCTGGATCCTGGCGCTGATCCTGGCGCTTCCGCTGAGCCCTGACAGCCCTGCAGCTCCAGCCGTCTCTCACTCAGGTTTGTGCCGGTTCAGCTCATTCCCCTCCCTGCTACCACTTTTCTAGGATGCTCACGTACCACCTGCCAGGTGCCAATGTACCACAGGTGATACCCATACAACTGGTTGAAAAGCCCTGTCCTAGACCAACCTTCTGCTCAAGCAGGGGACCCTATGCCATTCTGGACAAATGGCTGTCCAGTCTCTTCATGAGCACCCAACAAGTTCTGGAAGCACTTGTTGCTCTATCAGAAGCCCCCAGCCCTTCCCAAATATGCCTCTTTCTAATTGGAGGCCAGGACCTCCCACTTCGTTGTCCTCACCGCCAGCACAAAGATGCTTACCCAGCCAAGGAGACCTGGGCGTAACTCACAGAAGAATTTGAGATCAAAGACCCCGATGCGTGGGTTCAACTCATGGCCCATGAAGAAGTCATAAATGGGGTTTCCTGCAGGAGGGGAGAAAAAAAATAAAAATAAAGTTCTCCTGAAACTTTCCAAGTGCCCTGGTTGATCACGGGCTTCTTACTTCCCAGGAAAATATAGGTAGTCCTCAGCTTATGACCATAATGGAATCCGGAATTTCCACTGTAAGTTATAACAGTTGTAAGCCAAAGCACCCATGTGACTGGACTTGATTTTATGGCTCTTTTTACAGTGGTCGTTAAGCGAATGCTGCAGTTCTTAAATAAATGTGATGGTCGTTTCTCTCTTCCAGGAGAGAAGCAACCTGGAATTCAGGAGAAACCTCCTAAGAGTGAGGACAATTAACCAGTGGAACAGCTTGCCACCAGAAATCGTGGATGCTCCAACACTGGAGGTTTTTAAGAAGAGACTGGACAGCCACTTGTCTGAAATGGTAGAGGGTTTCCTGCTTGATCAGGGGGTTGGACTAGAAGACCTCCAAGCTCCCTTTCAGCTCTGTTATTCTGTTTTTCTATCATCTTAAAGTCGGCAAGGGCTAATCTATCCTGAGAGGTGGACAAGGCTGCAAAGGGGGTTAAGATGCCTCCTGCGGGCTTTTCCTCATTCCACAGCCCCCGTTGAGTTTTCCAGATTTGGGGGACCCTCACCTGAATTCCCACTGGGAGCCAGAGCTGTCTCTGGGGCCAGCAGAGCTTTAAAATAGAGAAGGACGCTCAGGCTGAAAGCCACGACGGTCGCTGCGAAGGCCAGTTGCAGGAGGTGGTCGTAGATGTAACTCAGGCGCAGCCCCCCGGCCAGTCCGGCACCCACCATCAGCGCTGTGACCAACATGGTGTAGAACCCTACCCAAAAAGAAAAAAAAGGAGGAGGGGGATTTGTGCCCCAAATGAGACCTACAGCCAGGTATCTGGGAACTCCAAAAACTAAACTTAGGCCAAGAGTTTACTGAATGCTTTAATTACAATGGGTCTTCTTTTTAATTTTTTCCCCATCCCTTCTTTTAAAAGTTTTCGAGTGGATATTGCAGCATTCATATTTAATAGAGTCCTAGCCGTATGCTGTTTCTTTCAATATTTGTTTTTATTTCATTCTAAGTTAAAATACAAACTCAATAAAGAAAAAGAAAAAAAGCATAACAGAAGAAAAACAAACAAGACAAAAAAGAATTTTTTTTTTAAAAAAAGATACAGGTGGTCCTTGACTTATGACCACAATTGAGCCCAAAGTTTCAGTTGCTAAGTGAGACAGTTGTTAAGCGAGCTTTGCCCCACTTTACGTCCTTTTTTGCCGCAGTTAAGTGAATGACTGCAGCTGTTAAGTTAGCAACATGGTTGTTAAGTGAATCTGGCTTCCCCATTGAATTTGCTTGTCGGGAGGTCGCAAAAGGGGATCACGTGACCCCGGGACACTGCGACCGTCATAATTATGAACCAGTTGCCAAGCCATTTGAATTTTGATCAGGTGACCATGGGGATCCTACAACGGTTGTAAGTGTGAAAATGGACATAAATCACTTTTTTCAGTGGCATTGTAACTTTGAATGGTCACTAAATGAATTGTTGTAAATTGAGGATTACCTGTATACCACATATATTGTCCCCCTAGTTGAATACTGAATACTGATATATATATAGCTTCAAAACTCTCTGTTAACACTATTGTTGTATTTAACTCACAGAAAGTCTACAAACAGCTTCAATTCCAGCCTTACTTATCACAACAGTAATTGTCTCAAGTCCATCCAGGATCAAACAGCCTTGATTGATTCTTAGTAATAAAACAAAACTGTTCAAGCAGGAGAAATTGCTGGTAATACAGATAGTCCTTGACTTACAACAGTTCGCTTAGCGACCGTTCAAAGTTACAATGGCACTGAAAAAAAGTGAGTTATGTCCGTTTTTCACACTTTTTGACCCCTGCAACAACTCCATGGACCCGTGATCAAAATTCAGACTCTTGGCAACTGGTTCATATTTATGACGGTCCTGAGATCACCCAATCTTGTTTTTTTGTGACCTTTTGACAAAGTCAGTGGAGGAAGCCAGAGTCACTTAACAACCGGGTTGCCAACTTATCAAACTGCGGTGATTCACTTAACCACTATGGCAAGAAAAATCGTAAAACGGGGCAAAAGTCACTGAACAAAATGTCTCACGTAACAACAGAAATTTTAGGCTCAGCTATAATCGTTGAGGACTACTAATATAAAAAGGCCGGTGACATAAATAAATGTTAAATAACATGTACTTCCAAAGTATATTTCTTAATTAAATTGCCTAAAACAAACTAATTTGGGGAAGTGATGCTACAGCCATCCCTTGCCAATTCTCTCTCCCCCCCATCCCATCTGATTCCTTTGTTTTAACAAGCCTTTTAATTGTCCCGAAATACCCACCGTTAATGCGATATTGCAGCCGGCTCTTGTCCCGAAGAACACTTCCTTCGCTGAGCTGTTGGGGAATAGAAAAAAAAAAATCAGTTTTCGTAAGATCTTTGCAGAGCTTGGGGAAGTCCATCTTGTCAGACAAAACAGAAACTGATATCCATCCAAATGGGTACTTAAAAATGGAAAGATTCATTTAACATCTGCGCCGATTCACTTAACAAAAAAAAAGGTTGTAAAACCGGGCACAAACCTAACAACCGTCTTGCTTAGCAACAGAAATTCTGATTCCAATTGTGGACATAAGCTGAGGACCATCTGTAATAATGAAAAGTTCCTCTGAGTTACAAGGTCCAGCTCTCCTATTTATTAGGGACAGAATTCATCATCTTTTGGGTTCTTTTGTCTGCCTGCTGGAGATGCCTTCAAATTTACTGGTGTTCTTTTTATAACCATTTTACACTCTGGTGGCCCATGTCTGCCCAAGCAGAAACAGAATAACAGAGCTGGAAGGAACCTCAGAGGTCTTCTAGTCCAACCCCCTGTTCAAGCAGGAGACCCTTTGCCATTCAGGACAAGTGGCTGTCTGATTTCTTAAAAACCTCCAGTGATGGAACATCCACAACATCTCGACGCAGCTTTCATCCAATTGATTAATTTTGCTCACTGTTAGCAAGTTTCTCCTTAGTTCCAGGTAGCTTCTCTCCTTGATTAGTTTCCATCTGTTGTTTCTTGTCCTGCCTTCAGGGGCTTTGGAAAATAGGTTGACCCCCTGCTCTTCTTTGCGGCAGCCCCTCAAATACTGGAATCCTGCTATCATGTCCCCCCCAGTCCTTCTTTTCTCTAGACTGGCCAAACCCAAGTCCTGCAACCGTTCTTCATATGTTTTAGTCTCCAGGCCTTTAATCATCTTAGCTGCCCTAGTTGCAGGCACTGTACTGTAGTACAGTTAACACTAACAGTATAACAGATTTGGAAAGGACCTTGGAGGTCTTCTAGTCCAACCCCCTGCTCAAGCAGGCAACCCTACACCATTCTGGACAAATGGCTGTCCAATTTTTCTTGAAGTCCTCCAGTGGTGGAGCAACTTCCATCTAACTCAGGGGTAGTCAACCTTGGCTCTTTTATGACTCGTGGACTTCAACTCCCAGAATTCCTGAGCCAGCTAAGCTGGCTCAGGAATTCTGGGAATTGAAGTCCACGAGTCATAAAAGAGCCAAGATTGACTACCCCTGATGTAACTGATTAATTGTTCTCACTGTCAGGAAATTTCTCCCATAAGAAAGCCTTTGCCTTCTACCAGGATTACCTCCCACACAACTTTTCTTTCCATTATACAGATGAGGAAAACTGAGGCCAAAGCTGACTGTGCCAGCCCAAGCAAGGGCCTTACCTTCCCCATTGGCAGCTGGTAGAGAAGGGCTTGGAATGCCACCCAGGTCAGGACCAGAGCGAAGTCTTGGGGGCTCCAGAGGGAGCGAAAGGAGGGCAGCGGCAAGGGGGGGCTCAGCACGCTGGCTTGCTCCGTCCTGCAGACTAGCAGCAGGTAGAAGACAGTGCTGGGCATCAGGACCATCAGGAGGGCCACTCCTGCCAGGAGGAGGAGGAGGAGGAGGAGGAGGAGGAGGAGGAAGAGAAGAAGAAGAAGAAGAAAGAAGAGGGGAAGCTAGAATCAGAGATTGGGATGCCCCTGGTTGCACAACTTTCACCAAATCCCCCATTTTCAAAAACAGAAAACTATGATACGAGTAGTCCTCGACTTACAATCATTCGTTTAGTGATCAAAGTTACAACGGCACTGACCAACGTGTCTTATGAGCGTTTTCCACACATGACTGTTACAGCATCCCCATGATCAATATTCAGATGCTTGGCAACTGGCATGTACTTATGACAGTTCAAGGGTCCCGGGGTCATGCAATCCCCTTTTGCGACCTTCTGACAAGCCACCTCAACGGGGAAGCCGGATTTACTCAACAGCTGTTGTGTTACTAGCTCAAGAAGTGCCTTGCTTCACTTAACGGTGGCAAGCAAGGTTGTAAAATGGGGCAAAATTCATTTAACGATTGTCTTAGCGACAGAAATGTTGGGCTCAATTGTGGTTGTAAGCCAAGGACTATCTTTAGTTCTTATGGGAGGGATTAGAAGGACAATAAAACCGGAGAAACCCGGAGATCGAATCTCTGGGTTCCCCACCCCAATTCTTCTCTTCCTTACCAAATACACCCCCAAATTCCAGTTCTTTAGTCCGAGGAACCTTCAGTCGATCCATTTTCCTCCTGAGCTCAGATCCCGAAGCGTCTTCGGTTGAGATTTTCCACCAACGGAGAACTCCTGTTTGATGCCTTGATCTGAATTAAAGCCTGTCGTGATCTGGAGAAAGAATCCAGTTTGGGTCAAATTGCAGTTCTGTTCCACAAGGCTGGGCTGCAGCCAAGAAGGTTAGAGACCCTGAATATTCCCACCCTCCGGCTGGCCGAAGGACCCCCTCCCAATTTAAATCCCACTTTTGAACCAGCTGAGCACGGAGAATAGATTCTGCGTTGGCGTCGCTTTATCTGCGTGCAGCTGGGCTTGTAATTCTAGCCATGCTGCCTTCTTTTTTTAGAAATTAATCACAAAGGGAGCATGCAAAGTCTCTCACGGGGCCAACAAAGAGCAACCAGGATCGGCTTCCTCCTTCCTCTCATTGGGAATTTTTAACCTCCGAGTGGGGTTCAGGAATACAGGCAGTCCTCAACTTACAACAGTTCATTTAGTGACCATTCGAAATTACAACGGCACGGAAAAATGTGACTTCTGTTTTTCACAATTATGACAGTTGCAGCAACTCTGTGGTCACCTGATCATGAAATTTCAGACACTTGGCAAGTGGCTCATATTTATGACGGTCGCAGTGTCCCGGGTCACGCGATCCCCTTTTGCGACCCCCTGACAAGCAAAGTCAATGGGTAAGCCAGATTCACTTAACAACCAGACTGCTGACTCATCAACTGCAGTGGTTCACTTAACAACTGTGGCAAGAAAGGTCATGAAATGGGGCAAAACCCATTTAACACATTCCTTTGCTTAACAACAGACATTTTGGGCTCAGTTGTGGTTCAAGGACTACCTATACCAGGGTTGGGAAGGACCTTTGAGGTCTTCTAGTCCAACCTCCTGCTTAGGGTCAGCAACTTGTCTCACTTAGCAACAGAAATGTTGGGCTCAATTGTGTCGTATTTCAAAGACTAGCGTCCTGTGCAGGACTAGCCTTTCAGAATGCAGCTCTCATGTTTTCATCCATGGGTGTGTCCAAGTGTGCCTGCGTGGGATTGCCCTACAATGCACAACCGGTTTTGCATTTTGGAATAGCACTCTTATTACAAAGAATTATGACCAAGGTCAAAATTCAGGCATATATTTATGACCACTGCAGCATAAATTAAATAGCCAAGATCCCGGGATCAACATTTGCCATCTTCCCAGGAGCTTCCAAGATGCAAAGTCAATGGGGGAAGCCAGACTTGCTTAATTACCATGTGATTCACTTAACAACTGCAATGATTCACTTAACAACCACTGGGGAAAAGGTTGTAAAATCGGGAATGGCTCACTTAACTGCCTTATTTAATGACGGATATTCTGGTCCCAGTTATGCTTGTACGTGGAGGACTAGCTGTATACGTTTTTTTCCGAGCCAAAAAGGGTAAAACTGTCGTTATTTTATGTGCTAGGATACATTTCCATGGGGAAAATTCAGCCATGTTTCTTATGGGGGGGGGAGGAACCTTTGCAGGGGGGGGCATTCATGTCCCAGGAGGAAAGGGGGTGGCGAATTTTCACTCTTGTGTAAAAAAAATCACAGTCTTAACATAAACCGATCATCTCACGCACGGATACTTGGGGCCCTGTTTTGTTGGTAAATATCTCCCTCCGTGTGCTGATCGGATTCTGCACTTCAGGATGCATTTGGTGCACAAAACTGCACGTTGTACACAGCAAGACCCCCCTCCTTAAGCATGCAACTTGCGTCTTGCACGCAGGAGGCAAGACATGCAAGCGCGAAAGCGGAAATATCCCACAAAAAGCTGGGCATCGTATCTGACAGCCCCACAAAGGGATCTGATTGACAGAATGGCCACCCTTCGACCCTGGGCTGCCTCCCTCCCCTCCACAAAGGCTCCTTCCTGAGTGAGGCTCCTTCAAGGTGAGCTGCAGGTGAAGCAAAGGGATAAAAACGAGAATTATCTCTGCCCAGGCAGGCAAAGGCTGCTGCATTTCGGGGACCCAAAGGCTTCCCTCTTGAACCCCCTTTCGGAGGGGTCCTCCTGGCTCTCTTGCCCCAGGGAGGACTCACCCCCCCCCCGTCTCTTCCCCTCGGGAGGCTCACCTGTGCGGAGGATGCCGGGAGGCGCACCTGTCCCGCAGAGCGCCTGGCCGGGGAGCCTGATGACAGCTGGCCGCCCCGCCCTCTGCCCATGCTGGCCCTAGGCTAGGAGGGCCAATCGTCTCCCGCGGACGGAGTGACGTCACGGGACAACGGGCCAATCCGGCTGGTGGGAGGCCCCCAGGTTGCTTTCCATTCCTTTTCGGTTCTTCTGGGGAAGGAAGGAAGGAAGGAAGGAAGACAAGCAGAGGAAAAAGGAAAGAAAAGAAAGAAAAGGAAGGAAGGAAGGAAGGAAGGAAGGAAGGAAGGAAGGAAGACAAGCAGAGGAAAAAGGAAGGAAAAGAAAGAAAAGGAAGGAAGGAAGGAGGGAGGGAGGGAGGAAGGAAGGAAGGAAGGAAGGAAGGAAGGAAAAGGAGGGAGGGAGAAAGGGAAGGAAGGAAGGGGAGGGAGGGGGAAGGAAGGAGCGAAGGAAGGAAAGAAAAGGAGGGAGAAAGGGAGGGAAGGAAGGAAGAAAAAAGGAGGGAGGGATGAAGGAAAGAAGGAAGGAGAGAAAGAGGAAAGATGAAAAAAGGAGGACAAACAGAGGAAAAAAAGGAAAAGGAAAGGGAAGGGAGGGAAGGAAGGAAGAGAAAAGGGAGGAAGGAAGGGAGGGAGGAAAAAGGGAGGAAGGAAGGAAGACAAGCAGAGGGGAAAAAGGAAAGAAAAGGAGGAATGGAAGGAAGGAAGGAAAAAGGGATGGAGGGAGAAAGGGAAGGAAGGAAGGGGAAGGAGTGGGAAGGAACAAAGGAAGGAAGAAAAGAAAAAGGGAGGGAGGGTGGAAGGAAGGAAAAGACAAAGGAAGAAGGAAGGAAGGAAGGAAGGGGCAAGGAATGGAGGGAGAAAGAAAGGAGGAAAGTGGACAGAAGGAAGGAAAGGAGGAAGGGAAGAAAGATGGATAGCAGAATAGTTTTCTCCCCCTCAGTAATAAAAACAGTTATGTAACTGATCACTGAAAATCCTCTTTCCCCATTATTATTATTATTATTATTATTATTATTATTATTATTATTATTATTATTATTATTATTATTATTATTATTATTATTATTATTATTATTTATTGAATTTAGCCCAATGCAGCGTTTTTTTAAACTTTCTTCTCGCGAGACCCCTTCCCTCTTTTGAAAATTATGGAGGACCCCCCAAACAGCTTTTGTTTTTGTGGGTTATGTTTACTGATATTTAAAATTAATTTTTACTGCCACATTACACTTAATTGCAATGTTAGAGTAAAAATGCCAAGTACAAAACTGAAACAGGCTAATGAGGGTTCAAGCTAATTATCTAACTGGCATGGCACACAATTTGCAACATTTATTTCTAAAATGTAGATTTTTATCACACCGGCGCCACATATTTCTCTCAATAATTCAATACTACAGTTAAGAAATTCGCGCTGTCAATAAGTCTCTCTCTCCTAATTGGTGCAAAAAATACTCCCGCCTCAATTTAAAACAATAATTGGCTTGCCTTCTCAACCAATAGCAAGGCAGACGTCCTTGTTTCCGGCTCCTCCCACTTACTTCCGCTGTTCTACAGATCTTGCAGGTGAGGAGGGCTGTTTCTGTTTTGTTTAATCCATTAATAATCTTAATTATCTTTTTGTCATCCATGGTTATTATAACCTTGGAAATATTTTAGCCAATGCAAGGAAGAAACCTCCATCAAACTGTTATCAGATTATTAAACCCTTTGTATATTTTTAAGCCACGATTCCGACGGGGTTTGTTTCATGCGGGGCGCCTTGAATGACTCCATGCTGGTTTTCCTAAAACCAAGATTTTATGCTAAAATAAACCCAGATTCTGCCCAAATGGCAACCCAAATTTAAATTAAATTATTTTGATTATTTAAATAACTATTTAATTTAATACGTGAATATAATATAATGTAAATATAATATAATGTATTTATTATACGGTATTTGCTGTAATGTATAGAAAAATTCAGACTTCATTCCATTTTTAAAATTAAACCTAAAAACCTGGACAGGGATTTAAATCCCGGATCTGGGTTTAAAATCCCAGTTTTGGGATTTTTGTGTTTAGATCGGATGAGACCTTTTAATTCTGCCTCCTTGTAGCTTTAATATAATGGTATTGTGGTTTAATTTTTTTTATCTATTGCAGATAGTTTTACAGGCAAGACTTGACTTACAGGCCTTGTGTGGAAACTCAGAAATGTCATTAGTTTGGAGTTTATAGTCCAATTAATGCCATTTTAGGCTTTATAATTGGAATCGAGAACTTCTGTGATGGTACAAATCCTCAATCAATCCACATAGGCCAGCACAGGACAGGCAAAATGCAAACAGCAATTTTAAAAGCTGAACAAAATATAAAATACACAATTAACAAAACTAAAATAAATATAAAAACCATTAAAAAAAAAAAAACTATGGGAAGGGATAAGTAAATATATAAAGGTATTTGGCAAACTAAATTGTAATGTGTAGGATAATATATAGTACATTAAGGTTATAATAAAGATTATAAAACAATTTAATATATATAATTAATAAAATAAATCCTTTTTTCAATCATGTTACTGGGGATTATATTAAAAGTAGTAAAACGAATATAAAAATGCATTGTGTTGCTCAAAAACTTGACTGCATTAACCCTTTTTTCCTTCCACTTTACAGCCTGAAAATGACGTCTCAGTTCTGGAGGCCTCTCCTTAGGGGGAGCAGTTGTGTCCCTTTACGGAAAGCCAGCATCCTCTGGGTCTGCAAACCAGGTTTCTTTATTCCTCATCTATTTGGGTAACAATTAAGGTTATTAATGGATTAAGCAAGACCGAAACAGCACTGGGGAAGTAGGTGGGAGGAGCCGGAAACAAGGACATCTGCCTTGCTATTGGTTGAGAAGGCAAGCCAATTATTGTTTTAAATTGAGGCGGGAGTATTTTTTGCACCAATTAGGAGAGAGCATTTCTCAACCTTTGCAAGTTTCAGAGGGGTGGACTTCTGGGAGTTGAAGTCCACCCAATTTAAAGCATGCTGGCTGGGGAATTCTGGGAGTTGAAGTCCACCCTTTTTTTTTTTTTTTTTTTTTTTTT